AATGTATCTGTGATAAATTCCTATTTTTTATCACTACATTTTAGCTACATAGGAAAACACTCTTGTGTAGGAAATACACATTATAGCATTTGCATGTGATGGCAATTTTCCCTTAAAAGGTTTAGAGAAAAATGAAGCTCTTTGTATAATACTTTCAACATTTCTGTAAATGTAAGGTCATTCAAAAAGAAATTAAATTTTAACATGAACCATCTCTAGGTCTGACTTCCCATCTGAAACACTTTTTTGTGTGTGTTTTTAAACTTGGATGGTCATGACAATGAAGTTACTGCAAGCCCTTTTGTAAAATTATCAGAAGTCTTCGTACAAGAAAGGCAGAGTTCTGATTATAAGGAAACACCATGGTTTCATTTCTGAGTTTCTTTGATGTCTGGGTTCAAAAGTCTCTGAAATCATATCGTATTCTCACAAAGTGAATGTTTCATTGCAAGGCTCTCATCCCTTCCGCCACATCCCTCTCCCCATGAACAGTGATTTAGTTCATGGTCTCAAATGTAGTGGCCCTTACTTGAGGGACTGATAGACTAAGGCTGAAGGGACTGCACCCTAGTTTCGATCACCAAAGCTCCACCTGGCTTCTCTCTTCTTTTGGTTGCTAATGCTCTTTCTCTTTCTTTCACACACACACACACGTATCATAAGTAAGAATAAAATGGTAATAAAAATGAAATTAGCAGATTCTGATCCAGACATGTTGGCACATGGTTTTTCTGTGCTCTTCCCTACTCTTGAGAGTCCCTTAAACAGCAAGGAGATCCAACTAGTCCATCCTAAAGGAAATCAACCCTGGATATCCATCGGAAGGACTGATACTGAAGCTGAAGCTTCAATACTTTGGCCACCTGATGCAAAGAGCTAACTCATTAGAAAAGGCCCTGATGCTGGGAAAGATTGAAGGCAGAAGGAGAGGGGATGACAGAGGATGAGATGGTTGGATGGCATCACTGACTCAGTGAACATGAGTTTGAGCAAGCTCCAGGACATAGTGAAGGATAGGGAAGCCTGGCATGCCACAGCACATGGGCTTGCAAAGAATTAGACACAACTGAGTGACTGAACACCACCACCACTAAATACAACAGTATCCCCTTGAAATAAAGCCAGAGGTGACCAAAGAATTCTGAGCGGGAGTTGGTGGTGGTGGTTTAATGCTAAGTGTGTTCAGTCCTTGCAACTCCATGGACTGTAGCCCACCATGGAATTCTCCAGGCAAGAATACTGGAGTGGGTTGCCATTTCCTTCTCCGGGAGGTCTTCCTGACCCAGGGATCAAACCCGCGTCTCCTGCATTACAAGTGATCTCCTGCACTGCGGGTGGGTTCTTTACCTACTGAGCCACCAGGGAAGTCCTGAAAAGTAGTTAGAGGAAGACAAACTTGGTTGGAACCAAAGACTATAGGAACATGACAACAGCAGTCTTATGACACTCCACCAGTGCACCTCAACAGAAGCAAGCTACCAGCCAACCAGGCATGAGCGCTCTTGACCCCGACTGAGCAACAAAAGGCAATGCAGGCAGACTCATTCCTCTTCTGAGATCAAACGGGAGTCCCCGAGTGAGGAGAGCCAGGCCCCGCTTCTCATCAGAGAGCCCTGCTAAGAAGCAGCAGCAAGTCCACAGCAAGCAGATCCCCCTTCCCACCACCTCATGAGGTCGAGTCCAGGAAGCCCCTACGTCCTTGTTCCTAAGATGCCACTTTTCAACTGAGAGACACTGATGGGGCCCCAGTCTGGGGGAATCCCTCCTGCCCCCTGTGACAGCACCAGAAGGGGACAGCGGAGCCCCAGGGCACCAGGTACACTAAACAGGCCACAGTGACTCAGCAACGACTCTCACTATTAAATTCTCACGGAGACACAGCCCAGAAGAAAGCAGGCCAGGAGTCTCATGCTTCAACCTTAAATCGTGTGACTGTCTGCTGAACAGAAGATTTAAAGATTCAGTGTCCTAAAAGTTGTAGGCAAAATGTCCAGAATGCAGTAGACTAAAACTCATCCCCAAAACTAGGAAAATCACAACTTGGAGGAGAAAAGATAATTAATGGATGCCAAGGTCGGGATGAATCAGATGTTTGGAGTTTTGTGTCCAGAGTTTTAAGGCAGCCATCATAAAATTACTTAAACAGTTAATTACAAATTCTCAGAAGCAAGCTAAAAAATAGCAAGACCCAATTTTAATAAATACCAGGTATAAAAAAAGAATCTAATGGAAATTATAGAAGTGAAAAATATAGCATTAATCTTTTTAAAAATTCAGTGAATAGACCACACAGAGATAGCAAAGGATAGAATCAGTGAGCAAAGGACAGATAAAAGAGCAAACTCAATCAGAACAACAGAGGAAAGAAATGGGGGGAGAAACGGGTAGAACCTTTGGAAATCTGTGGGACAATGATGAAAACTCCAAAAATCATCATTGGAATTCCAGAAGGAGAAGAGAAAGAAAGTAGATCTGAAAGGATGTTCAAAAAGATGATAGCTTTGAAACTTTCTCTCTATATTTCCAGGAAAGAATTGGTGTAAAAACAATCTTGTCTCCTATAAAAGTCCAAGAAGAAGAAAGAAAACTTGGTTAATTATTCCTGGTTCTACGCTAATCTGTGAGGTGATTTTAGGTAAGCTCTATCACTACGGCTTATGAGATTTCCATTTCTTTGTTTGCAAAAGGAAAACAGGGGAGGGTTAAGGGAGACAATCCCTAGGGTCTCTTCTGAAGTGAAGTGTGAAGTGAAAGTTGCTCAGTAGTGTCTGATTCTTTGCAACTCCATGTACTATACAGTCCATGGAATTCTCCAGGTCAGGATACTGGAGTGGGTAGCCTTTCCCTTCTCCAGGGGATCTTCCCACCCCAGGGATTGAACCCAGGTCTCCTGCACTGCAGGTGGATTCTTTCCTAACTGAACCACCAGGGAAACCCAAGAATACTGGAGTGGGTAGCCTATCCCTTCTCCAGGGGATCTTCCTGACCCAGGAATCAAACCGGGGTCTCCTGCATTGCAGGCAGATTCTTTACCAACTGAGCTATCTAGCCTTCTGAGTTAATAATATTTGTCTTCTGATTTTTTCAATAGTATTCTGAGCCCTAGATTGTATACGTATTTGAATCCCTCCTCTTTAGTTCTTCACTCCCCTTTGGATGTGAATTCAAAGCTGATAAAATTTTAGTTCTCTAATATCTGGTCTGATGATAAGCCTTGCCCTTCCCTGACAACCTCCCCACCTCTACCTAATTCTCAGGCAAACACATCTCATTTTCATCTTTTCTGTTCAGGGCATGTCTTCTATAATACTCTATATGTCATCTAGACCATTTCAAATCCACATCTGCAAACATCTTGACATTTCTAATCAACACTTAAGTACCCCTATAACGCCTCTGATGTAGGATGGAGGGGAACAGAAATTGCCAGGTGCCCACTGGATAGTTTTGAGCATATAATGTTAGACTCTCACCTATGCTAGATTTGTTGGAAGATTGCATAAAAGCACTTAACCTTTCTCTGCTCCAATTTCCTAATTTAAACACTGAGGAATAAGACAACCTTTAGGAAACATTTCAGTTTCTTGGCTAAATAAAAATGCACTGGGCACTGAGGGCTATCATCCCATTTGTGGAGCCCTTCATCTCTCTGTCTGTAAAGGAGCTTCTGCCTGCACTGGGTTTCAGCATGTCTACAGGCTGCCAGTGCCGTGCATTAAGTATTTCCTGTCATCTGTGCTTGTCAGAGATTAGTCTGCAGACATTTTGCAGAAAGCATGCATAATACTGCGGAACACAATATTTATCATACACCACCACCAGTGATTGAAAAGCATTACCCGTCAGCTTCCTCTATTGTGGGATTTCTCTTTGCATCAGCATGCCCTAACTGGGCAGTATATCCCTAACCACTGGGTCAGGCCTAGTCTGACTCAGAACCAAGAGTAGGAATTGACTCATTCTCAAGAGCATCGTGGTGTTCTCTGAACATATTCATGTGGTTTCCCATAAGGAAAAACTGAGAAGACAAAAAATATATATTTTGATTATTTCTTTTTCCCCATAAGTACTTTGCTTCCCATTTCAGTTGAAAGTCAGCCCCCTTCTTACGGCCATGAGTTAGAATATAGGGGAAGAGGTATACTCAGTTACAAGGGACATTAGGCAGCACCTCATCTTCCTTTTCCTAATATACACGCTCCTGGGATAATAAGATTTTGAACAAATTACTCTCTTTATTTCATGAGTGCCATGAATTCTGGCAAGGTTTACTCTGACAGCTATTTTAAAGGCACCATTAACTCTAAAACTCTGTCACACCAAGTTTGTCTCCCCTCCGCTAATGACATCCTTGCCAAGAGTCAAAGTAGGTTTTAGCAGAGGGGAGGAGATGCTGGAACCAAACCAGCCAGGGACACTGGAGAGACCTCAGGTAAAGAGAGCAAACCCTCCCTTGGAGAGCATCCCACCTCTCTGTCCTCTGCCCGTAGGAAGGACGTTTCAGGCTAGTCTATCAACAAGTAACGTCCCCTACCTTGTTCTGTTCAACACTCAACATCACCAGTGTGAACTAACTTCAAAAGTCGTCATTTTCTTCTTTGAGTTTCATTTGACAGTATTGTTCTTAGTGTGGACTATTCAGTTCTTTTACAATACTGCCCCTTTTTGAGGCCAGCATGTGATGGCAACAATATCATACTGGAGAAATACTGTGATCCCCAGTTGGGGATGATACTTCAAAACAGATTAGAAAGAAGACATGAGCCAGGCAACAGTGGAGAAGCAAGGTGGATACCTCAGGAGGGAACTTAACACTAAAGTCCCGTTCCCAAAATATTGGTGGAAGGCAATTCTAGAAAGAAAGGGAGGCAGAAACTCAGAATATATATGCATCATATATATCTATTTCCAGAATAGATTTTGTTTTGTAGCCTGCTTGTGCCCCCCTCATCTGTGAACAATGTATTATAACTTTTCTACATCAAGTCACAAATACCTACCTTGCTTTGTTTAACATTTGGATCATAGTCACTTGTAAGAATCCCTCATAACTTATTTAATCTTCTAATCTGTTTCTAGCTTTCACTACTATAAATAATTCAATACATAATTACTTGGTTCCCTAAAATAAATGTGTAAATTGTAGATGTAAACCTGACAGATGTAGAGTGAAAGTGTTAGTCACTCAGTTGTGTCTGACTCTTTGAGACCCCATGGACCGTAGTTCATCAGGCTTCTCTGTCCGTGGGATTCTCCAGGCAAGAATATGGAGTGGGTTGCCATTCCCTTCTCCAGGGTATCTTCCCGACCCAGGGATCAAACCTGGGTCTCCTGCATTGCAGACAGACTCTTTACTGTCTGAGCCACCAGTAAAGCAATGACAAATGTAAGAGCATGCACAAATTACCCCCCCCCCAAAAATATTGAATAGTTACAACCAGACCCCTGAAATATATGTATGGAGTGCTTCCTTCCCAACATCCATGTTAAACTGAGCTTTATTCATTTTTAACCTTCAGTTTTAAAGTATTATGTTCCATTTTTATCTAAATTTATATTTCTTTGATACTACATGGGAGTAAGCATTTTAGCCCTTGTTTGCTGGTCGATAGCATTTTTGTGTGTAGATGTATGTGAAATATTTTTTCTTGTTTTTTGTCAACTCTTCCATTAAGATGTTAGTTTTTTCTCAACTATTTACAAGCATTTTTATCTTTTATAGTTTATTAGTAGTAGCCCTACTTGTATACTATGCATATTTTCCCCAGTTTGTCAGTTATTTTTTAATATTGCTATGATTTCGCCATGAAGGCTTTTAAAAAATTGCATGATAAAATCTTGCAATCTATTCTTTGATGGCTTCTGACTTAAGGGTCTTCTTCAACTCAAATTAGAGATAGCCTTTGACTTTCATAGGTTTAATTTTCACACAAGCTGGAGTTCTCTATATTACACTGCTGTCGCCAAACCATCTTGCCAATGATGAGCTCAGACATTTAGACATTCAATGTTTATGACATTAGGTCATAAACATTCCATTTTAATTATTGCATGTTTGCACTCCCCACTAGCCAAGGTCAGCTTCAACAGCATAGCTATCTTTAGCCTTGCAGTAGTGTTTCTACAGTTAATTACTATTACTCTGCTTTGCCTCTATCTTAAAGATTGGCTCTATAAGGCAATGTTTTCACCTCTATTTGAATGGACCCTTGCTCCCACAAATTAGTTAGGTTGCTTAATGCTACTTGTTATTCCAAACAACCCCAAAGTATCCGTGGCTCACCACCAGGTAAGTTTATTTCTCATTCATATCACAGAACAACAGAGTTCTGAATGGCTCTGCTTGAGCTGGTTACTCATCATGTAGCTTTTGCTGTCTCAGATTCCTTTGCTTGTAGGAGATGGAGAATGAAAGGCTATGGGAAACGACACAAACATTTGTGGTCAGGCTTTCAAATAGTCTATATGGCTTTCTCCCAGATCCCACTGGCAAGAACATAGTCACAGTATCCCACACAGAAACAAAGAGATGGAAATTTAGGCTTCCTGTATTCCCAGGAAAAGAAAACAAGACTTGAGAGCATCTAGCCAGTTTACCACATCTCTTGACTATATACTTATCTATTGCTTTACTTCCACATATGTAGCTTTATAAATATTTCATGCACATGTATTATTTATTAAAGAATGGAGCTATATGAACGGCAATATTTACCTGCTCTCTTTTATTACTTTTATGGTTTTATTTTTAATACTGCATATTGAATCCTTGTGGAACTTGTTTTTGTATAAGGAAGCATATAAAGTGTGAAATAAGCATCTGCTTAAATTTGTCTTAAAAATTAAACATTAAATAATCCTTTTTATTTGCTAACTTGAAATGTTTCATTTATCATTCATTAAATTTTCATAGATTTAACAGATACAATTAAATGCTAACTAAATGCTAAGTACTTTTTTAACACTTTGAAAAGTTAAACTACTTAATCTCAAATAACCCTATGAAGCATTACTATTATTAGTCCCATTTTAAAGAAGAAAAATGCAGCCTATAAGGATTACTGAATTACCCAGAATCATGGAATTAGTCATTTGTAGGACTAAATTTGAACCTAGGTATCAGGCTCCAAGGCAAGCTTTAAACCCTGTTATGCTGCCTCTGCAAACATGTGAGCCCTTAATTGGATTCCTGTTGTGGTCATTACAGCAGTGGGTGATGCTGGTTTAATTGCTAAGCTGAGACTGATGATCATACACACACACACACACACTCCCCAAGAGGCTAGGAAAGATTTCCTATTTACACAATGAAGTTTTCGGGGGGAGCACAGTAGGGTCCAAAGCAGGGCCAAGATGCCTTCAGGAACGTGGAAAGGGTGCAGGCTGTCAATCTGTATTAGTTTGCTGGGTGTGCTGTAACAAAGCACCACAGACTGAGTGGCTTTTTTTGTCAAATTTTTTAAATTTATTTAATAGAAGGCTAATTACTTTATAATATTGTAGTGGTTTTTGCCATACATTGACATGAATCGGCCATGGGTGTACATGTGTTCCCCATCCTGAGTGGCTTTAAATAAACAGAAATGTAATTGTTTCATAGTTCAGAGACTAGAAGTCTGAGGTCAAGATGTCAGTATGGTGGGTTTCCTCTGAGGGCCTGAGGGCAGGATCAGCACCAGCCCTCTCTCCTGGATAATGCATCTTCATCTTCACATGCCATTCTCTCTGTCCAGCTGTCTGTCCCTAAATTTCTTCTGCTTATAGAACCACTGGGGCTTCCCAGATGGCCCTAATGTTAAAAAAGAACCCATTTGCCAATGCAGGAAACCTAAGAGACGTGGGTTCTCATCCTTGGGTCAGGAAGATGCCCTGGAGGAAAGCATGGCGACCCACTCCAGTATTCGTGCCTGGAGAATCCCATGGACAGAGGTCATGGCAGGTCACAGTCCATAGGGTCACAAAGGGTCAGATGGGACTGAGCAATTCAGCACGTGTGCATGGGGACACCAGTCATACTGGATTAAAGAAGCCCACTCTCATTACGTTAACTTAACTTGATTACCTCTGTTCAAAAAAAAAACAAAAAACAAAAAAACCTTTTCCAAGCAAGTTCCCATCATTCTGAGGTCCTAGTCTAAGCTATGGTTTTTCCAGGAATCGTGTACAGATATGAGAGCCATACCAAAGGCTGAGCACCAAAGAATAGATGCTTTCAAACTGTGGTGTTGGAGAAGACTCGAGGGTGCCTTGGACTGCAAGGAGATTAAACCAGTCACTCCTAAAGGAAATCAACCCTGATCATTCATCAGAAGGACTGATCCTGAAGCTGAAGCTCCCATATTTTGACCACCTGATGAGAAGAACTGACTCATTGGAAAAGACCCTGATGCTGGGAAAGATTGAGGGCAGGAGGAGAAGGGGGCGACAGAGGACGAGATGGTTGGATGGTGTCATTGACTTAATAGGCATGAGTTTGAGTAAGCTCCAGTATTTACTGGAGGATGGGGAAGGATGGGGAAGGATAGGGGAGGATGGGGAAGGATGGGGGAGGATGGAGGAGGATGGGGGAGGATGGGGAAGGATGGGGAAGGATGGGGGAGGATGGCATCCTGCAGTGCATGGTGCTGAGTGACACGACTGAGTGACTGAACAACAAGGAGTTATGACATTAAGACACTAATTTGGTAGGGGACACAATTAATACGTGATAAGGTTTTTATGGTGGTTAGGGATGGGGCCAGGGTGAGAGTTTCCATGGACAAGCACAATCTTCTGTGGTTTTAACTTCACGCTGATGCCAGAAAGGAAATGCTTGGGCCTTCTTATCAGTTTGCCCAGATGTGAGCAGAAGGGGAGGAGAGAGGCGCAGGGCTTCAAACCGCCTGCAGGCATCAAAAATGGAGTCAGACTGTTTATTACAATTTTAACCAGGTTATTGAATCCTTCCTGATCCAGCATCACTACAATGTTTTGGTTACTATACCTTTCCAAACAGTAACAGCTTGATGGAGCAAATACCCACCTAATCATCCTCTTTTTCAGAACTCAAATACTATGTGTCTAGTGAACTCACTTTTCCAGATGAACTAGTATAGCCAATTTGCCAAAGTCAATAGCTTGATTAAATTAGTATCAACATTAAATTGATATACGAATAAAGGGAGAACTGACATTTTGCAGAGTAGGGGTCTTCCCATCCAGAAACATTGTGCTTTTCTGAATGTGTTCTTCTCCTCTTGAAGCAGCAAGTAGCTACTCTCCAGTGATTGCACCTCCTAGATGAATGCCTTGGCACAGTCTTCTCCCACATTTTACCAGGCTTGTTCTGAGAGATCCCAGAATACAGTAGAAGTGACAGCATATAACTTCAAGGGCTTGATCCTTGCTTCCTCTTGAATAGCTCATTCTGGGGAAGCCAGTCATCCTGCAGCACCTACAGAGGGTCCAGTTAATGAGGGACTGGGGCCTCCTGTCAACTGCCCAGACCAACTGGCCAGCCCAGTAATGAGACATCTTGGAATCAGATCCTTCAACCCCAGTCAAGCCTTTAAATAACCATGACCCCAGTCAACATCTTAAATGTAAACTCATAAGAAACCCCAAGCCAGAAATACCCGATGAACTTCTCTCAAATTCTTGACCCTCAGAGACTGTGCTAAATAATTAATAATTGCTATAGATTTAAGGACTTCTCTGGTGGCTCAGATGTAAAGAATCTGTCTGCAATCCAGGAGACTGGAGACTGGGTTTGATTGCTGGGTCAGGAAGATCCCCTGGAGGAGGGCGTGGTAATTCACTCCGGTATTCTTACCAGAAAAATCCCATTAACAGGCAGAGAAACCTGGTGGCTTACAGTTCATGGGGTCACAAAGAGTCAGACACGACTGAAGCAACTGTGCTTGCATGCACAGACTTGAGTTGCTAAGATCTAGGGTAATTTTTATACCGAAATAGATAGCTTATAGAGAATTGCAGTTTATGCTTTTCTCACAAACATCTCCACTTCTTAGTAAACCCATTCTTTGGTGTTTGACTTTTTTTTATTAATACAATACCTTGAAAAGATAGAAAGTAACTATGTCATGTGATTTACAAACATCACTTTGATACACATTTCAGAGGGCTTCCCTTGTAGCTCAGTCAGTAAAAAATCTGCCTGCAGTGCAGGAGATCTTTCCATCCCTGGGTTGGGAAGATCCCCTGGAGAAGGAAATGGCAACCCACTCCAGTATCCTTGCCTGGAAAATCTCATGGACAGAGGAGCCTGGTGGGCTGCAGTCCAGAGGGTCGCAAAGCGTCGGGCACGACTGAGCGACTAACACACATTTCAGATACTGTACCGTCTTTGCTGTAATACCTAGGCTTGAGAACAAACTACATAACTTGGGTCACCAAGTTGTCATCAGAATAAAGAGGGAGGACTGGGAACACAGTCTTTCTGACTCTTAGGAGCGTTTACCAGTTCGGTGGAAGGAGATGATGGGATGAACAAGCTCAGCTCAAAAGTAATGAACAAATACAGTCCTTGCAACATCCTTCTCAGTCCCAGCTCACTCCCTTCCTGCCGCTGAGCACCATTCCACACGGGACTCTGACAAGAGAGCCGAGACATGCAAATCCAGACCTAAGTTTTCCTCTGGCATCTTCTCCATCTGTTTTTTTTTTTTTTTTAAACCTCCTCCTGATAGGTTCTTAATATTCAATAATACGTAACACACATTCATCAACATCAAAAGGTCCTGCCACTAGACCCAGCTACTCCTGGCACCTTGGTGTCAAGGACAGAATTTAGAACCAACTATATGTGCCAAAGTCCCTGCTCGGACAACCCGAGTCACAAAGGAAAATTCTAGAAGCGCTCTGCATCTGTCAGGGTCTACTGGGAGACAGATGTTACGTGAGTAATTTGTAATATCAGGAATTTTGACCCTGCGAAAAGGGGGATCCTCTCACTAGGGGGAAAGGGAAAGTGAATTCTAAAGGATACAGGAATAGCAGATCTAGGAAACAGCCACTAGGAGGGCTGAGAGAGTCCCCAGGAAGGAGCAAACTTGGGAAGGGCATGCCTTCCCCGAGGCTGTCAGATCTCCTTGGAGCCTTGTGATGGTGGCTCGTTGGATGGGAAGATGCTCGGTGGGGCCCTAGGGGTCAAGGTCAATGTTAGCAAGTAGGAAGTGCCTGTGGAAGTAGCAGCAAGCCTCCTGGAAACACCCAGTGTGGTGGTGCTGAGACTCGTGACGAGCTGCTCACTGCAGCGCCAGAATCAATGCGTGCCCCCGTTTGAAGGGTGGGAGGGAGGGATCGTTACGGAGTTTGGGATCACGTGTACACACTGTCATCTTTAAAACGAGTAACCAACAAGTCCTACTGTGTAGCAAGGGAACGCAACCCAATGTCATGTGGCAGCCTGGATGGGGGCGGGGGGTGTAGGGGTTTGGGGAGAATGGATGCATGTGTGTGTGGCTGAGATGTTTGATGTGCACCTGAAACTGTCACAGCATTGTTAATCAGCGATGCTCCGATATAAAATTAAGCTTAAAAATGTATGGAAACATCCCCTTTGTCCTGCAGCATTCCTCCAGCGCCCTCTACTGACAAAGGCTGGCATTATTCCAGTCGGCATGGCTCAGTGGGGAAAGAATCTGCCTGCAATGCAGGAGACCTGGGTTCCAACCCTGGGTCGGGAAGATCCCCTGGGGAAGGAAACGGCAGACTACTCCAGTATTCTTGCCTGGAGAATCCCATGGACAGAGGAGCCTAGCAGGCTTCAGTCCACGGGGTCGCAAGAGTTGGACACGACTGGGCTGCTAAACCACCGCCGCCACACTACACCAGCCTGTGTTGTCTGGTATTATTAAAGAAAATCGGATTTGGACCTGAGAGTGAACAAGCCAATGACTGGCGTATGCTCTAAAGCACAGTGAAATGCAGAATATTAAGCAGAAAAAAATTTAAAACTCTTAGAAAAATAAGAGGAATTATAGACATTGTATAGCTGGTCTCAGGTTCTACCTTAAAACTGGCAGTTCAGTATTGCTCATCCTCTATTATAACTCTCTTCCATGAACCTTCTCAACATTATTATTTTCATTTTATGGACAAAGAATCTAGTGGGCCAAGGGATGTGCTCAGAATATTTCCTTGTCCAGCTCGCACAGTCACATTCTGACTGAGAGAAGAAATCAAGTTCAGAGTTCCTGAGATACTACGGTTCTCTGAAAATAAAGGCTGTCAAAATGCCAAAATATTTTTATCACAGTTTCTGTTTTCCTTTCACCTCATTTCATTCTGCTAAATTAAATATATCAGCAGGAACACAATGAAAAGGGAAATCGTAATGAATTTTTGACCCATGGGAAGCAGCCATGAGCATTCCCTCTCACGCTGCAGTTGCTGACATGCAAGGATAAAACCCTGCAGTGTCTACTGCTTGGAGAAAGAACTCAGGATATATATTCCACCTGGAGGCTATAAGTCTATGATCAGCCCTGCTTTGGGGAAAAAAGTCTCGCTTCTCTTTTCTTCTGTTTGAGTCTTCAGCATAATAAGCAGTTTAATCAGCTCAGCTCCACTAGAATGCTTCAGAATATTTGCATATTAGCACAACTTGCCTTTCTTTTCCTTATTAAAATTGGCATCTACCATATCACAGTGTGGAACTGCAGACCCCAGCACCCAGGACCGATGACAGCAGAGATGCAGGCGCTTGTTCAATAGCCTCCGTACTGGTCTCCACTGCTTGTCCTGCAGACCTGCGCTTTACCAGCTACAGGAAATCCGTAGTACTCCTCCCCCGGCCAAAACAAATTTGATGAGAGGTGTGCTTTATTATTGTTAATGAAACTGCTTCCATAAAAGTTCTTCAACAAAAATATCTCTCTTGCATGATAAAGCACTGACAAGCCAAGGAAAAGGTGAGAACATGACAAATAATTACAGTAGTGACGGGACACCTGCAGAATTTATGCTACCATGTTTGTATAATGTATTCAGACAGTGAGAAATTGTGCGTATCAATAAATTAGATACTAGGCTAGAAGTGCCACTAAAGAAAAAGCATGAGGTTTCATAATATTTGCAAAATGAAGCCAAACAATCCAAGGGGCTTAGGATCATGCCGTGATCTCCCTTAGCAACTAGTTTCTAGCTGTGTCAGCTTAGAATTACTATTAAAATGTTGAATTAAATTATTGATTTTTAAAATCTCACTTGCAATGTAAGGGAGAGACTGCTCTCTATCCATAAAATCCACTCTCCCACACAGGCCGCTTTCATGAAGTTGTGGTTTTGTGAGTAATTATCATCAAAGGAATATTAAGAAGTGATTTATTTTACTTTCCAGACAAGGCTTTTTGGAAATGAGTGTTCTTGCTTACTCTGCTTTCCCTTCCATCAACTGAATGCAAAAAATGTCACAAAATGCAGAATTGGGTGGGGGCTGGTATCACAAATTCGAAGGAGCTTGTGTGCCTGAGTCATTAACAGCAAGAAAGTCAGACTCTTACCAATCAAGCATACCTACCTTTGGCTTTCTCATCAGAAAAAATAAACTTTTACTGGCTTTGAAGCGTTATAAACTGGGGGAGGAGGGTGTCTCTAAATGTTATGTATTTCTATATATTTTACCAAAATATAAGAATCCTTTTAGGCCAGGTAAAAGGTCTGCAAATCTGATCTTTCCCTTCACAAATGCTATTTGATCTCCTAGCCAAGTCATCTAATCTTTCTAGCCCTAATATTATCTGCCAAGAGTGCAAATTTGTTTGATATGCCCGCAGAAAACATCTTCAGAAATAACTTAAAATGCATTTTTAAACTATGGTCAAAAAGTTGTTATATCAAAGAAAATAAATATTGCATGTCTTGAGGTAGTTTTAGGATGCAACAGATGAGGCAGAATTTTGATTACATTTGGGCTTTTGGCACATGCCAGCACTTTCTCACTGACATTTATTCAAAGTGACTAGCGACCTACAAAGCCACCAAAATATGCATCAAAGCAACTGAAATACTGCATTCCAAAATACAAGTGCTTTGTGGCATCGTGAATGATGCTTTCAAAATTCAATATCTTCCATAACCTTAAGCATTGTGTTTTATGCTCAATACATATTTATTGAATTTAATTGGTCAATTGGGAAGGCACATCCATTTCTCTTAACCTAGATTTGATTGGCTAAAATCATCAATATTTCCAAATACGCCTTGTACTTTCAGTGGCTAGATTTCAAATTCTCATCTACACTTAATGTCACTAAACTTGTAGGTTTGCTACTGATGAATCCAATGGCCTTTCCCTAGTCTCTTTTCTTTTTCTAAATTTATATTAATTTTGTGTTTTGAACCTGAAGAACATCTCTTTCCAAAATCATATTTTCTGTTAGTTACAGCAATTCTATGTCATAGTAGCATGGTGGTGGTGGTTTAGTCACTGAGTCGTGTCCAGCTCTTGCAATCCCATGGACAATAGCCCACCAGGCTCCCTGTCCATGGGATTCTCTAGGCAAGATTACTGGAGTGGGTTGCCATTTCCTTCTCCAGGGGATCTTCCCAACCCAGGAATTGAACCCAGGTCTCCTGCATTGCAGGCAGATTCTTTACCAACTGAACTATAAAGGGAAGCCCTTAAATATAGCAGCATACATTCTATATAGTAGCATACATGCTATATTTCTGTGCATTTTTTTCTCTTGGTTATTGTTTCCTCTTTCTTTTCTTACAGGTTCTCCTGTTAAGCTGTTTTATCTCTCTGTTTCACAGCTGAGATAGTAATGCCCACATTTTGGTCTCTAAGTATGCCAATTTTCCTGAGATTAAAATGTCTATTGTCAACTGCTTAAAGAATACGTGTGTTTCCTCACCATCTCTCTAATTTCCCCATGTCAACAAATTTTCTTCCCTCAGTCTGGATAGCTAGCCCCCCACACAGTTATTTGAATTAGTCAGTCACATCAAATTCCACCAGTTTTGAAGCCTTTGAATAACCATTGAATTAGCCTTCTTCATTTTCCACATTAAATTTGTTGCCAAATCCTTTCAGTGTTGTCTGCACAGCACCTATTGAATTCATCTCCTTTTATTGCTGTGATCAGCATCTTCGTCCAGATGCTCAATCCTCAAGTGTGGGCTTGATTATTCTACTCTGATTGACTACAACTCCGTACCCTCAACCCCAAGGACAGTTTACCAATGGTTCTTAAATCTGGCCTCACACTGAAATCCCTGGGGAGTTTTTAAGAACAGATCAATGTCAGGGCTTTCCCCTAGAAATTCTAATTGACTTTGGGGTGCAGTTTGAACTTCAGGATTTTTTTTAAATTCTCCCAGATTATAATATGCAGCCAACATTGAAAACCACTGAGGTATCCCATTTCTAGGCTGTTTATTTCAAGGAAGTTTTCTTTTTCTTTCCCTCCTTCATGGATGTAGAAAATCATATCCGTTCTTTCATTCTACTTTCTAACTGGCTTTTGCTGGCATATAGAAAAGCAATTGATTTCTACACATTGACTTATAAGTAGAAGTATTAATGAACTTTTTCATCTCTAAGGAAGTCTTGATAATCTTGGACTTTCCAGGTTTATAAACACATCATCTGTATTAGTTTCCTATTACTCTTGTAACCAATTACCATAAACTTAGTGGCTTAAAGCAACACAGTTTTAACAGTTCTGGAGCACAGAAGTCTTAAGTGGGTCCACAGGGCTTCCCTCCTTTGAGGGCTCTGGGGAGAGATCTGATTCTGTGCCTTTGCCAGCTTCAAGAAGCCATCCACATTCCCGGGCTCACGGCCCTTGCCTCCATCCTCAAAGCCAGCGGCTTTCTTCCTCTCTGACCTCTGCTTCTGTCTCAGCATCTTTTTCTTACCTGTACTCTGTTAAGGACCCTTGTGATTACTTGGGCCCACCTGAGTAACCTAGTGTTATCTCTGCATCTCCTAATCCTTAATCACATTTGCAAAATCGCTTTTGCCAAGTAAAATAACATAGAGGGTCGTTATTCATCCCACGACATCTTTTAAAGGTAATGATGACTCCCCTCCTCCCATCAAGGCTTTCTATCCCATTTCCTTCTCTTTTCTCTTGGTTTTGGTCAGTCTTTCCCCTGTTATTGTTTATAGTAATGGTAAGATTCCCACATTATGTGCAGATTATTATTTATCCCTGAAAGCAGGCATTTCTATCTGATTCTCTTATTTGCTAAAAATAGCAGTTGGGGTCAGGGGTGAGCTTAGAACAGCGGTCTCCTTCCTGGGAGACTCTCTTTCCTCAGTTTTCAGAATTCCCACTTTTAGACTTGGGAAGGTTATTCAAAGCTTCCAGGCCCTCTCCATATCGAGTAGTTTATTAGTATTTATCTCTGTTCAGATGAATCAGAATGGAACTTAAAATGCTGATTTCTGCTTCCCTCTCTCCTCTACTCTGCCTCATCCAAGTCCAAGGGTCTCAGACCAGAGGTGGTTTCAGGAAAAGGGAGAGGGCATGCCTCTCTAAAAGCATGAACCTGGACCCCAAGGGTGTGTTTCCTGCTTCTTCTTAGGCTGACTCACACTCTGATCATCCTCATTCCTAGTGAGACACTCTTTCTTTGGAGGTTTTAGCACAAGCTGATTGTGTTTAGGAATTTTTTACCCTTGTTTAGGTTTATAAAAAATATGAGTCTATGAAGGGGGTCAACTGAACAACATGTTCAAGCTCATTTTCAAACACAGGTCCCTCCACCATTTCTTGCGCTTTGAGTAGAGTCCGATTTTTGCTAGACCAATATCTAGACTTCCATAAAGAGCAATAATAGAATATAAGAAATCAGCCAGACTGAAAAGGTGGTAGCAGAAAGAAAAAATGAGAGGAGAGAAACCAGAAGAGGCAATCTTACCAAGTGTCACAAAGGATGTGTTGTTCTTCCACTTCTTTGTCAGATATCTATTATCGTCTCTGTTATAAACTCTGCAGTATAGAACAATAAACAGGTTCATCAAATCTCCTTCGTCAAGCTCACATTCTAGTTGATGGAGATAGTTAATAAATAAGCAAACATACAAACAAACAACATTAATGTCAACTTGTGTTAAATTCTAAAGAGAAAGTAAACAAGATGATAAGATGGATATGTTGAGATGGGGGGCAGTGGAGGGGCTCAATGAAGTACTCTTGGAAAAAGTAACTTTTCAGCCATAGCCTGAAGAATTAAAGAAAGCTTCCTCTTATAAAGCTGGAAAAGGAGGGTTTCTGGTAGAGGACATGAACCCTTAGACAGGAGATAACTTGCCTCATCTGAGAAGCAAACTAGTATGAGGAATATCTCTCTGTGGGCAGGCAGGGCAAACAGCTGAGGCAGAGCAGAACATGGGGACGTGGGAGAGGGAGCATAGGGCAGATGGTGAAACTCAAAACTCAAAACTCCCAGCTTGAAGCAGCACCTCAGTCTAGCATCCAGGAACAATTAATAACTATCTCAACTCACCTTTCTCCTCTCAGAAATGAACACTCCTCCATTTGTAACATGAATTTCTCTAACCCCCTCTACCCTCTCTGAAGAATTCAGTTCTACAATTAACCTCTCTTTCTTATATCATGTGAACAAAATCAAGAACCCTAAAATAAAACCATACATGTATGTTCAAATAATATTTGACAGGGTAGCCAAGAATAATCAAGGCAGATAGGGTAGTCTCTTCAACAAGTGGTGCTGGGAAAACTGTATATTCACATGCAAAAGAATTAAATTGGACACTGTCTTACACCATTCACAAAAGTTAACTGGAAATGGATTTTAGGACTTTAAGACCTAAAACCATAAAATTCCTATAAGAGACCATAGGCTCAAGCTATTCTGCATTGGTCTTGGCACCGATTTTTAAAATTTGACATCAAAAGCAAAGGCAACAAAAACAAATATAAACAACTGGACAAAAAGCTTCTGCACAGCAAAAGAAACCATCAACAAGATGAAAAAGCAACCTACAGAATGGGCAAAATATTTTCAAACCATAGATCTGATAAGGATTAATATGTAAAATACGTCAAGAACTCACACAACTTAATAGTAGAACAGTGCCCTATTAAAATATGGGCAGAGGATCTGAATAGACATTTTTCCAAAGAAGACACACAAAAAGTCAACAGGTATATAAAAAGACGTTCAATAGACCATCTGACCTGTCTCCTGAGAAATCTGTATGCAGGTCAAGAAGCAACAGTTAGAACTGGACGTGGAACAACAGACTATTTCCAAACCAGAAAAGGAGTACATCAAGGCTGTATATTGTCACCCTGCTTATTTAACTTATATGCATAGTACATCATGAGAAATGCCGGGCTGAATGAAGCACAAGCTGGAATCAAGATTGCCAGGAGAAATACCAATAACCTCAGATATGCAGATGACACCACCCTTATGGCAGAAAACAAAGAACTAAAGAGCCCCTTGATGAAAGTGAAAGAGGAGAGTGAAAAAGTTGGTTTAAAACTCAACATTCAGAAAACTAAGATCGTGGCATCCAGTCCCATCACTTCATGGCAAATAGATGGGGAGACAATGGAAACAGTGACAGACTTTATTTTGGGGGGCTTCCAAGCTTACTCCTTGGAAGAAAAGCTATGACCGACCTAGACAGCATATTAAAAAGCAGAGACAATACTTTGCCAACAATGGTCCATCTAGTCAAAGCTATGGTTTTTCCAGTGGTCATGTGTGGATGTGAGAGTTGGACTATAAAGAAAACTGAGCACCGAAGAATGATGCTTTTGAACTGTGGTGTTGGAGAAGACTCTTGAGAGTGCCTCAGACATCAAGGAGATCCAACCAGTCAATCCTAAAGGAGATCAGTCCTGAATATTCATTGGAAGGACTGATGCTGAAGCTGAAACTCCAATACTTTGGCAAGCTGATGGGAAGAACTGACTCATTGGAAAAGACCCTGATATTGGGAAAGATTGAAGGCAGGAGGAGAAGGGGACAACAGAGGATGAGATGATTGGATGGCATCACCGACTCGATGGACATGAGTTTGAGCAAGCTCCGAGAGTTGGTGATGGACAGGGAAGATTGGCGTGCTGCAGTCCATGGGGTCACAAAGAGTCGGACATGACTGAGCAACTGAACTGAACTGATCACTAATCCTTGGAGAAATGAAAATCAAACCATAAAGAGATACCACTTCACACCTGTTAGAATGGCTATCATCAAAAGTACAGGAGATAACAAGTGTTGACTAGAGCATGGTGCACTCTTGTTGAGAATGTAAATGAGTGCAGCCACTGTAGAAAACAGTACGGAAGTTCCTGAAAAATGGAAAATAAAACTACCATGTGACCCAGCAATCCCATGTCTGGGTTTATATTCCAAGGAAGTGAAATGACCGTCTCAAAGAGGTATTTGCAACCTCTGTGAAAAGCTGTTCATTGCAGCTTTTTTCATAATAGCCAGGGCAGGGAAACAACCTAAGTGCCTATTGATGATGAGTGGGGTGAGGAAGATATGGTAATACATATAAAATGAAACACTATTCAGCCATAAAAAGGAAGGAAATCCTGCCATTTCTGACAGTGTGAATGGAATTTGAGAGCACATGCTAAGTGAAACAAGTCACAGAAAGATAAACACTGCTGTGGAATCTAAAAAAGCTGAACTCGTGAAGCCGACTGTGGAATTGTGGTTGCTAGGAGATGAGGGGTAACAGGAATGGGGAACACCAGTCAAAGGTAAATACTTCCAAGTGTAAGATGATTAACTTCCGGATGCAGCATGGTGGCTATAGTTAACAGTATCCTATTTTTGACTTGAAAGTGGCTTTGAAATTAGAGCTTTAATATTCTCACCATACAAATAATGTC